AAGCTGATAAATCAATCAAAGAATTAACAATTACCTCGCAAAAACATGATAATATGATGTATACTTCTAAATTTATCGATACGAGAGAAATCGTTTCAGAGTTAGAAAATTTTAGTATTAATGATAATGTTGATGGCAATTGAATTTTTTGAGATTTTTATAAATAATATGATTATAGGATATATTGTCTACTAAGAATGTTGGCTTATATAATTATTTTATAAAATAAAGTTAAATTTGTTAATAATTGTTATAAATACCTTTATTCATTTGAAATCTTAGAAATATTATAAGTTACCCTTTTAGCATACCATATACATATTGCTTTCTCTTTTAACACCCATAAGTTATTCATAAGCTATATATGTATTCGAGCTCTTCATATTTTACATTTTCTTTTTCTTGCGAATATCATTTAAAATTGATCCTTACGTTTCCATGCTTTGCTTTCATTTACACAGTTCATATACTCAAAACATGATTTAATGTTAGGGACCAACTTAAGACCTATCTAACTTGAGGCAATAAATACGATTGGCTGGCTTTTGATTACTAATCAAAAAACTATCCAATCACCTCAAGTTAAACCAAACCTCACGTTGGTCCCTCAAATTTATTATTAATTTGAAATGCAATATTTTAGTTTCGTAATTCAACTAGATGTACAAAGTATATTCCATTTCAGTAAATTGATGTTTTACGCCTATAAATTTATTATCTCAGAAATTTGCTACTGTGTGCGGAGTGTTCTAAGCAAAAATGGTCTATGCCTCGAAAAACCCTTCCCGAATTAATTCGAATCCTAAATACTCAAACAGCCTAATAATTAGTGATGGGAAAAATGCGCATTTTATAATAAAATGCGCATGATATCGCATGATAAAAAAAAAGGCGAGAGGAGAGAGATAAAATGAGCATGAAACCCATCTCTACTAATAATATAATGAACTTACCTCCACATCGATTTCAACACTATCTCAGCATACACGGCAAAACGTCCGTCAAAACTATTTAAAACTGTTCCCTTCTGGGATGAGCTTATGAAAGTGACGCCAAGTAATATTGCAAAGATTGCAATCAAGTCTCTTCAATGAATACAGGTTTTTCTATAATAAAAACGGATTTTAAACATAATCAGCTGGATACGTGGAATTAATTAATAAGTATAAGTAAAACTAATGCTGAGCCATATAGATCTGAAGAAAATATTGGCGAAAGCCTTTGTTTGAAAACGTGATATGAATCAGGTATGATTGAATGCATGAGGTTCAACAAATAAATAAAAAAAATAAATCACTGAAATGCATACGTAATATGCAACTTGGATTTTTTTTAAGAGTGATACCTGGTCATATGTAAATATCGGTATAATAAATGTCGCGGATTATCGTGTAATTGGATCATCATGAAATTTGGGGTCTCTATTTAAAAATATAAACCCAACCAAAATCCACCTATACTCTTTTATTAATAATTCCCTAACTTAACTATAAAAAAAGCCGACAAAAAAGGCCCTAAAAATTTTAAAAATCGCACATAAAATAGATCCAAATTTCACGATAACCCGATTTCACGATAATCCGTGAAAAAAATAGCACGCGAAATGTATGCATAATATATTATATATTATATAATAAATAAATATACAGCAAGTTTTAAACTAACATGTTCAGGCATGTATAATTAATAGTATATGTATATAAATAGTTTAAAGCAGATTTTGAAGCCCAGGTTACGTACATACAAACTTGCAGATTTAAGCAGGATAACATCCCTATTAGAAACAATAATTTGCTAGTAACAAATAATTTAAAGTTTAATGATTGTGAATCTCCGAAGCAATCAAGTGGCAAAATTTTTTAAAAAGTAACTTTGAAAATTTACAAAAAATTAAATGTGCCGTATAAATTACTTTCTATAAATAATACTATGTTGTTCGAACACACCAATAATGATTTTATGGGAATAAAAAATTGTATGAGTAATAGACTTGGTAAGTTTGCCGGAAATCATGGAGAAATTGTCGCTGAAAAGCAAAAAAAGTTTTATAGGAAAAAGGGAAGGGATCGATTATTATAAGTCTAAAGTGTATATATTTAGAAACTATATTAATCAGTGAGTAGTGAATATCGACCAAATTACCGTATTTTGCGGAATAAAATAACCTTTATGCCAAAATAGTGTAGTTATCCTTCTTAAATATTCGTTGTATATTGATGTGACGTGTATTGGAATATTTATTTTTATGCGTAAAAAAATAGCATCACGTATGTACGTACGTACGTAGTTTATTCCGCAAAATACGGTAGTTGAAAGGTGATACACACAGCGGTATTACCTAAAGGAGTATAGTCGGAAAAACAAAAGTAGTTGCGTATGGTAGCGAAAATAAAAAAATGTATGTTGCGTATGGTAACGAAAATAAAAACTGTATAATATAAATATATGTATGATAATATATTAACTATCAACAACTGCTTATCGTTATATTGTTATTAAAGCAATTATATAGGTTTTTTTTTTTTTTACAAATAATTTGATTATACAAGATAATAAAGCGATTATGCAAAAAAATTTTTTCCAACAAATTAGCAAAGCAACCAATAATTAAATAAGAATACACTTTATGACTAATTTTCTAAGCCATATTCACGCTCTTTAATTAAATTAGAAATGCGGAATTCTCTTAGTCTTTCTTTGAGCCTTGACAAGTTCGTATTTTACGCTTAACCTCAACACCAAGGTAGGAATTCATAACTTTGTATTCACCTCCAGACTTACCAATCGAGCATTGAATCTAAATAATTTAATAAATCAATTAAAATTTATTAAAATTACTTAAAATCAAAATGTATTACTTAGGTTCTTTCCAACCTTCTACATTAAATACTAAATACATATGCAACACCTTCCGGATTGTAGCATGATATTCTATAGTCGTTATTATGTGATGGACAATTTATGATGTTATCGTGCAAACTCTTATGATCATAGATTTTTTTCTTCTTGTTATTTTTTGTACATTATTACGTAAGCACAACAACCCGAATCAAAACTCAGTTAGCCAACCACTACTCGGAAATCATGATCATAATTGCACGATAACATCGATATTGGATCATGCAACGATTAATATCATGAAATTTGTTCTGTCGTGGCTGAAACGTGCTAGAGGAGGGACCGTTAATGTTACACAACTGATTTTACACACGGTGTGAAACACATAAAAAATTATTTTACAATACTTGATCGGACTTGATCAGTCAGCTAGTATATGTTATGATTATAATCCAACACCATTTTTTTATAATAAAAAATGGTGTTGGATTATAATCATAACATGTACTAGCTGACTGATCAAGTCCGATCAAGTATTGTAAAATAATTTTTTTATGTGTTTCACACCGTGTGTAAAATCAGTTGTGTAACATTAACGGTCCCTCCTCTAGATACGTGTATGTTTTCAAGGCTTAGCCTGCAAAGCCAGCGTAATACAATGAAATGTATAAATAAAAGAAATGATTTAATTTCTATTATCTAGATCTTTTTAATAGTAATTGATGATTGATAATTAAGAATTGAAGACACGGAAGAAGATCGTAATTAAATACACTGTAATTGTTAAGATCATATAAAAGAATCATCACTATTTACAAAAGGCGCGGTAATTAGTCAGGGCGAATCATTTCTAGTTATATTTAATTGTATATCTACTAGTTAATATTGTCTTAATTAATATAGTTTTACAATAATAGGTTATAATTTTGTTTTTAGCAATTGACGATTTTTATGAAAATATCATAATACAAATGTATAACGTCAATATTGATGAAGCGGGAAATAAAGATCTTTTAGAAGCATGTTCTGATTCATTTGAACCATTAAAACTTACACGTAAATTTACCGATGAGCATGAAGAACAAAGTTTGTTGATGACGTCAAGTTCCTTTTCAAGTTGGTCTATTGCTGTATCAAATGAGTATCGCGAAAGTTTTAGATTGCTAGCTTTATCTTGCATAAGCGACGATGATATGCAAGTTCTGCCAGATTCGAAAAAAATAAGTAGGTGTGGTTAGTGTTGTTAGGCAAAACCTAGAGGTTTTGCCATTGGCAAAAGTCAAAACTAGTTTCGACTTTTGCCAAAAAAAAA